AAAATCTTTTGCTCAGACCACTTTCATAATCACCGAGACAATTACACGAATCTCCCCGTGCGAAAACCTCAAAGAGCCAACAATCCAACTGCACCTTGAATCCACCCGAAGACCACTAATTATGCCCACTAATAGCTACCTTCTCAGCCAGTCTCAGGCATCGCGATTCCCAAAAATCCTCCCCGAGAAGAAGGAAAAAAAAAACATCGTCGTATCTCTCGTCATCCTCGAAGAGTCTCCCTGAAGCTCGTCTAATTTCACCAAGCAGCATCCAGGCGTCTCTCTGGAGGATCTTACGCTCGACTTCCTCGAGCGCCCTCGTCGCGCATACACTCTCTCGACTATTCGCTCGTCGAGCCGCGAAATCAGAAAAATCTGGCGGGAGTGTATAAAGCAAGGCCTGTCCTGCGTTCCTACTACAACAGATAATTCACGAATGAACGGGTGGGAGACTTTCTCGCGACTGTTCTTTGGTCGCTTTCAGTGTCAAGGTTGACGAGATATTGTCGCGCGAAGATTTGCATGCGTTCGCCGTCGTCGCAGCGAGAAAAGAATCGAACACACGCGTGGTCGTTCGGTTCCACAATAAAACCGGTCAGTCTCTCTCCCTCTTCTTCTCTCCCCGTCTCTCTCTGTTCCTCGTTCGCGTTGCTTCTCTCTTCTTGTTCTTTCTTCTCCTCGTTCGGCTTCTTCTACGCTTCTCTTCCTCCTGGCTGGCTGGCTAGCTGGCTTTCGCCAGCCGCGTGGCTTCTTTTTCCTCGTGTTCCGCTCGTCATTAGTCAACCTCTGCTCCGGGGACCAGTTACACGGTAAACGGGGCAGACCGTTCTCGCGATCCTAAGGCGCTTGGCTTTCGGGCGATGGCCGACGACGATCTGGCGCGCGCCAACACACTCGACGAGCAGAGGAGGCCGCTCTTGAGGAAACAAAGACAGCTAGACGAACAGAGCAGGCCCATAGGCTGTCGTGTCCTCGTGTCCAGCTGGCCCGAGTTGTCGAACACACGGGCGAACCAGAAATTCGGTGAGTTTTCTAACAGCAGGCGAGAGATCCCTCTGTGTTAGGAGGAGCTCGGATTGTCAGAGGATCGAGATAAGGACTGGCTGGGTAGTTTCGTAGGCTTCCGGTATCATGGTGATGTATTGTTTTGTGTTCTTTGTGGTTGGAGTTTCACGGATTTTTTGTAGTTTTTATTTTGGAAGAGTTGCGATGGTATTTTTTGGAAGATTCTGTGCTTTTCTAGTGAAATGATGATATACTTTTCTCTTTTGGAAGAGTTGCGATGGTATTTGGTGGAAGCTTCTGGAGTTTTGGAAGATTCTGTGCTTTTCTAGTGAAATGATGATATACTTTTCTCTTTTGGAAGAGTTGCAGTGGTATTGTGTGGAAGCTTCTGGAGTTTTGGAAGATTCTGTGCTTTTCTAGTGAAATGATGATACATGTTTTCTTCTATTTTTCTTTTTTTTCTGTAAAGGATGGTGATGGTACTCTTTCTAAGTTTCTGCAGCCTTCTGATAAGGTGGTAATATAATTCTTTGAAGACTTGTGTGCTCCTAGTGAGGTGATGGTAGAATTTTCATATATTTTTTCTCTTTTTGGAAAAGGTGGTGATAAGATTCTTTTAAGATTTTTGTAACCTCCTGATAAGTTGGTAATGCAATTCTTTGAATACTTCTGTGCTCTTCCAGTGAGGGGATGGTAGAATTTCTGGTGCATGTTTTTATATATTTTTTCTTTCCTTTGGAAAAACTGGCGATAGGATTTTTTGGAAGATTTTACATTTTTTGGTATGATGGTGATAAGACTCTTTAGTTCGTGTCCTCCTCTAATGACTCAGTTACAAGATTGCCCTAAAATTATTGTATTTTTTTACAATTAGTGGCAGCGAAAATTGCGTTCCCCTAAAATAAAAAGTCTCTTCCTTCTCAATAATAAAAAAAAAATTGTTTAGTTCTTCAAAATATGAAAAGCAATTTCATCGCTAAATTTGCTTTCCTAAGCTGATTAGCTTCCTCTATTGTTAAATTTTGAATTTTCAGGAAATGGTGTCTTTGTAGTAACGTCTTTAGTCTACAGGACTCGAAACCATTATTCTGAGAATTTTTCAGAAACTCGCGAGTAACCTTTGCGATAAGGTTCCTTCATATCAGGTGATTCATTGATAAGCTTTAATCAGCTTCTCACTCTGCAACAACTCGGATAGCGATAACTCCGTATCCGGTTTTGGTAATTACGATTCACGTGTGTGTGTATGTAGAGCATCTTATTAACAAGTTTTATCTTGTAACGATTAGCATAATGTTTATGTACCCCCTTCAGAAGATGGTAATGTCATGCTACATTTCAGAAACTGTAAAACTTTCGTACAAGACAGTCACTTTCTTCCTGTTCGAGAGCTTTTCCGCGGATATTCTATGTTTCCAATTTTTCTGAAATATTTTTTCAATAACCCCTCTTCCCTTCTTAACCCCTTCGCTACGGCAGATTTGAACGTGTAACATGGGTGACTGACGGTAAATTTTCAACCACGATTGAAAAATTTCTTACTTTGGCCGTATCGTCATAAAATTCGGTTTATTAAATTAAGGTGGAGGTGCATGAAGAATAAAATTAAGTATTAAATTAAGGTGGAAGTATACCAAAAGGCTCCAACAGTGTGGTGCGAGCAAATTTTCAAAACGCCTATAGGCGCCTGTAGTAACGAAACCGTTAATACAACTAATTTCTCAATAATACACTTCCTCACATGGATTTTTTAGTAATCAATTATTCTTCTCGAACGAACACAATCTCGCGTTATGTTTTCACAAGTTTTTTCTAACCTCCGCTATCAATCAACCTTCTCCGTAATTCACCAGCAAAAGATGATTTATCAACCGTTTATATCATCCGATAACTGTAATTTCCTACTTCCAAGAAGCTATTCTTACCAATGACAATTCCCCATCGTACCTTCCGCGATATTTTTCCAATCTACGCGCAACAACAATCATCACATACCACCGTTAATCTATCAATAATTTTCCATTAACTCCGCTGCAACGTGAATTCGAGATAATCCGCGCGAACGAAAGAAATTCCAATCGTTATTTGCCGTTCCCATCTCCCGGTCATTTTGAACCTTTGTCGACGTAGCTCTCGTATCTCCGTCACAAAAGAAACTAACTAGAATCCTCCCAGTTAACTGTATCTAATCGAGTCGTAAAGGAAACGGTGCTTGGCGGTTTTTACATTTCTCCACGGTGTGTGTGTGTGGCGTGTGTTTGGAAAGGAACGAGCTCGCGTGCGCCACGAATTCCAGGCGTGAGGGGATTTCGTGCGGCTTGTAGGAACGCAGCTTCCTTTTCTCCATAACTGGACCTGAGCGTAATTTATTTGAAACGCAAAACAACGATTCCATCTCCACTTGCAGTTCGACCGTAACCAAAGTTTCTCTCGGTTGAGTACCGCTAATTCTTGTGGGTTCTTCGACGAATTTCACAAGCACCCGGCGTATACATAGAATTATGCGTGGTCCTGTGTGACAAGGTCTGAGCTATTAGCGGCACAGAACGTGGTATAATTAGCAACGCAATTGATTACATTTAACGCTTGGTATCTTGATATCTAGATAATGGGTGACTGATTGAATCAGGTAGAAAATCGATGATAATGCTCTCGTAGATTGGCGTTTCTGGTTGAGACAATTATTGTAATTTGTGTAGAAAGGATGGAAGAAAATGATTTTTTCTTGGGGGCAGTTAGTGCGTGCTAATTTCGTTGGTTTTGGGTCGGTTTGAAAAGTTAGCTGCAAATTTATGAAATAAGATTTTTTGTAATTGACTTTTTAATTAAGTTAAGAGTTTTTTGTAATTTTTGAGATAATCTTTATGGAGATGGTAAATCGGAACTTTTCAGAGGCAAATTTTTCTGTTTTACTTGTTCGTGAAATAATTGACGAATTTCGAAGAGGTCTCTTCGAACTCTTGCAAGGAGAACTCTCTAAGTGGGATTCGGTTATTAATGAAACTTTGCCGGCTTATAGAATTCGTCAGAGTAAATATATATCTCTGTACTCCTTTTCGGAGGCAGAAGGCTGACTGTTTGCGAGATATTAACAATTAAAGCCAATTAAACGTTTTACTCTAAAGTATAGAGCACCCGTGCATTCGAGAATAAATATGTGAACTCCAGTCACAATTTTTCTAAATGTCCCGCTTTCTTTTTTACACAAGACATATAAAATACACTTTTAGTAGGTAGTTTATTTTAATTACGTTACATATTTTTAATATCTCGTGATGACGAATTTTGTAAGCTTGAGGAAGTTTGATTAATAAGTGAACACCTTGGGAATTCCTCTTGTCGGATCAAGATATCAAATTTTCAGAAAATATTATCTGACTCTTCATTCACCAGAAAGTCTCCCCAAAGTGTTTTGCTAACATGTTGCGAACTTCCACTCGAAGTACCGTTAGTCTGACAAAGTTTCGTTAACGAGTGAGCACCTCGGGAACTCCCCTTATCAGTGCAAGATATCGAATTCTGAAAAAATGATATCCAAAATGTCTCTCCAAAGATCTTTACTAACAAATTCAAAACTTCCACTCGAAGTACCATTAGACTGACAAAGTTTCATTAACGAGTGAGCACCTTGGGAATTCTCCTTATCAGTGCGAAATATCAAATTCTCCAAAAATTATACCTAATACTCCGTTCATCAAAATGTCTCTCCATAAATTTTTACGAGCAAGTTCCAAACTTTCACTCAAAGTACCATTAGTCTGACAAAATTTCATTAATGAACGAGCACCTGAGGAATTCCCCTTATCACTGCAAGATATCAAATTCTGAAAAAGTGATATCCAAAAAGTCCCTCCAAAAACTTTGACCAATAAATTCCAAAAGTTCGATTGAAAGTACCATTACTCAATCCCTCTTTTAATCTCTCTCCCAAAGAAAACGTCGAGTCCCTACTCAACAGGACAATGCCACTAAGATAAACCGTGTTTATCTTCCAGGCAACGAGATGAATTACAAGGGCAGCGGGAAGGTCCACTTCGGAGTGGACGATGTGTCCCTCTACGGGACGCCGAAGGAGGAGCCGGGCCCGGGTCTTCCGGGCCAGGAAGTCAAGCAGAGCTTCTTGAAGAATCAGCTTCAGGCCCTGTTCCAGCCTACGGACAACAAGCTGGCCATGAAGCTGTTCGGCAGCAAGAAGGCTCTGATGAAGGAACGGATCAGGCAAAAGGCTGCAGGTCACTGGGTCATCCATCCTTGCTCCAATTTTCGGTGAGTCCTTCCGCCAGATATCAAACCGCTTCGCCTTGACAGGCAACGAGATATCGACCGTGTCTCGATTCGCCAGCTCGATGGATTTTACCCACGATGACTGCGTCTTCTCTTGACCAGGAAGATCCCTGCACCTTTTCTCTTTGTCCCTCTTTTTTTTTTTTTTTTTTTTCTTCCAAGGGAAACGCTGTCGTGGTTTTTCGTCAGGTCGTGTCACCCTGCTGGAAAAGTCTTCAAAGGTTTTTCCTAGTCTTTTTTTCTCGAGGTGAAGATTATTTAGGCGACTCGAAGCTTTTCTCTTTTCGACGTCTTTGAGAAAAGAAAGTGCAGGGTGAAATGTGTGTGTTATTCACGCGTAAAGGCGATAATGAGAAAGTGAAAATATTGGTGTAGCGAGAGGAGTGGGTAGAAATGTTGAGGAAAGTGGGAAAGGATGAAGGATTTAGCGGCGCCGCTTGAAGAAGGAGTAAGTTGGGAGGTCACAAATATTCGAGAGATATTTTATCTTTGAGAATGTAGAATAGTGATTTATCGGAACCGTAAAAGTGTATGAATTTTCTTTGATAGTTTGATGGCAAATTGTTGCACAGATAGGTGTGTATTTTTGTTACGCCGTGTATGTAGTTGCGTAGAATAGTTTCGAGAGAAATTCGACTGGAGGTACCTGGGAACAAGATTATCTCGTCAACTTATCAATGTCTGATCTGCGGTATACTAGGTGATTAATTAGTTGCTACGAAATTGACGTCCTATGTTAATATATGGAAAATGATCACTTGTAGTTCTGATTAATGGTTCTGGCTCGCTCTCGATCAAGGCAGAAATTAAACTTGGACAACTAACCACTTAGCATGAAAAATAAATTGCCGGAGTTTCACAAATAATGTATCACATCCAACTTAATTATACTGAAGATCAAAGTGTACTCTCAGGGAGTGCTGATTAACCGATCACAGGGAAGAGAAAGCGAAATATCTCACGAACGATGTGGAAATATCAGAAATTTCTCGATGATCCTAAATTTTACAAAAAAAGAAAATGGAAATAAGTTGGATCTTTCAAAGATTCTCCATTCTTTCTTATGACTCTTCTTCGTCGTTCGAGCAGCGTATGAATTTCATTGCGAGAAAAATTGTGCCATTTCCATGTTATAAAGTCGTTGATAAATTGTCGAAGATTATCAGCGAGGTGATATTGCAATGATCTTAAGAAATGACAATCGTACGGAGCCAAAGAAGTTCTTAAGCTGAAGATGTCTTCTTTAGTTACTTGAGGAACATGAATAGCCAAGCGTTGTGATCAATAGCTTCACTTCTAAGCTTCCCTTAGTCAGTGAATTTTTCCAATTTGTCCTTCAAATTAGTTCGTCCACAAATTAAGAAATAGGAAAACAAGCGAATTTCAACGCTGTAGAAGACCTAAAGAGGGGATTCTATCGACTATAAAACCGAAAGCAGTGCCGGAAAAGAAAATTTCCAGTGTGAACGTAGACACCTGTTCGTCACTTCGAACACTTGGAACTCTCAGCGTTTACCAGCTACGTAGATTTCTACGGGAAATAAACGGCAAATAAGTGTATCAACCGACTTGAATTTAATTGTACACTACTCTCGCGGTATACTATTCTTTGGCACTTAACATCGTTTCAACTCGTCAATTATTGTTTCTCGGTCTGACAAGAGTTCCTCATCGATGGAAATCGAACGGACGTGCTCTCGGCGACCGGTTAATTTGCGTGGAAAATAGAGCGTAGAGAGAGCTGTCGAAGAGTGTGTTGCGCAGATTTATTCTTTTCCTTTTTTGTTTCGTTTTTCTCGCCCACTCATTTTTGTTCGGTCTTCCTCAAAGAGCAACATTCCAGGCGCGCGACGATCGCTAACGAGGAGTGAATTTGAAGGATCCATCGCCGGGCCACCACACCACTCCTTTCTGTTCTAATTACCAATTAAAACGTCTAATTAGAGTACCCCGAGCAGCAGCCGGAGCAGATTCGAATCGAACGGAACAGTTGCGTCGAAGGTTTTCTTCATCGCGATTGCGCGCTGATCGGCTTTGACCTAGTTCGCAATCTTGCCGGAGAAAACAATCGATGATAAATCCGGCTACATTGAATAACGGACGACTCTATGAACACACGCTTCTGGCGATCCTGTGAAAGTATTTGCCTTTCGGCCGTTTGTGGTTCAATGTCATTGTAAACCAGGAACCGCCGGAGAGTTCCTGAATATTCTGATCTGTGGTCGCCAGCATGGAAATCATTTTTGTGCTGATCGTGGAATGTGTAGCCGGGACGGATTTATTTAGTTGAATACATTGTGAAAATTGGTCGGGAGATTGTTTGGGTTGGGAAAATAAGAACGGTAAATTATTGCGGTTTCTTTCGCTGGAAATTTTCATTTTGGTCTGTGTTCAACCCTTTGAACTCCTTTGCCTAAATAGTATACCTTGATGTCAGCTTTATTCGAGTCACACTCGATATTTTTAAATTGCCAGTTTAAATATATTTTGCAGTATTTTTTTTTTTTTTTTTACTTAGGTGAGCAATATGCATGTATATGACGAAAATGTAGTTGGTTTCCCTTTATCCATGAAAATTGTCTTATTTTACAGTAAAAAGTATTTAGAAATTCCACAAATATCAGATCTCAGCAGAATCCCAATGCTGAAACAATTGTTGAAATTTGTTCCTATTACCCAACTTTTGAAGTACATTTTAAATAAAGCACTTAAAGTAATACGGAGTTATTGAAGAGAAAATTTAAAAAAATGTGAAGTTCAAAGGGTTATATACAGCTTTACTTAGGTACTCAATATGTTCAGATTAATTTTTTTTATAGGAAATATATTGGAAATAATGAGATATGCAATTTTAATACATTTGGATCTTACAGTTGTGACTTATTTGAAACCAAATTTCATCGACATCTCTGTCAGAGTTAGGGTCGAAGGAAGATTATAGTAGACTATAGGTTTCTGTTGATACGGGCTTAAAAATTGCCAGATAATTATTACAGTGAGTGAAAAATAATTGAAAAATTGTAGTTTGGATAGGATCAGCTATTTTTTAATCAGGGGTGAAATATTACTAGAGGCAATTATTATCGACGGCGAGAATTCAATTCTGTTGAATTTTTCTTTTCAATTTTTCAATTATTATACTTTGTTATTGAGCCTGTTCTACGCCTAAATTAGTCATTACGTTATTTTGCATCGAATATGTTCGAGTTGCAATTGGTTTTTACTAAAATCAGTGGTTGCATGGTCTCTGAACACAGATTCGCAAAGGTTATAATTTTTGTTCAAATTAAAAATAGTTTCTCGTGAAATCTATTTCGATCAAGGATAACTTGAAACAGTGAAAAAGAATCAGTTCATCGTACAGGTCAAATATTATCTAATCCTTAAGTATCCCATTCATAAATCAGATAACAAGTTGAAGATGCTATCATTAAAGCAACTTTTCTCTCAGAAACTTCTTCAACAAGTTCGACTGTCTCGAAACTACCTCAGGCCCCTCTGTTAAAATTTCAAAACCTAGATAAGCACTGCTACTGCACAACATCTAGAGTGTGACTTGCTAGGATTGCCTTTAAACTAGTAACAAGTTCACTGAAATCCTGGAAACCTTTTATTCACTCCTTCTAGAACGTTTACCCAACAACTGCTGGTGATTAAAGAATCTCTTTCTTAAGAAGAGCTGTTCTCAAGTTCGACGAATCTTCTATCAGTTCAATATCTTGATTCAGTTCGTACCATAAGATCGATCGAAGAATTCTGATCAAATTTCAGTTGAATAGCAAATATTTCAAACAGTTGGCAGCTGTACTCATTTTCATGGCTGTCGATGTATCATCTCAGAATTGTCAAATAACTCGTAAAAAATAGAACGCATTTATTATCCAATTTTTCTGTTCAATTTAAACATATCACGAAGAGAATTGAGAAATTCTGGTCTTTGAATTAAATAATAAGTGTCCCGAATTCTTGACACATCTACCCTCTTTCGTAACTATTGAATAATCAGGTAACTCACAAAGAATTGAACGCATTCATCCCTCAGTTTCATTTTCAATTCGAACAGACCAAGAAAATAATCCAAGAATTTCAACGAAATTTCAATTGAATAATAAATATTCCAAATTCCTAACACATCTACATACTTTCATAGCTCTTCAGAATAATCAAATAACTCACAAAAGGGAAGAGGATACATTAAACCTTCAATTTTCTCTCGAATTCGGCGTATATCGTTGGCTGTAACACCGATTGCTGTCGAAATTTCTCGGGTGTTGCCCGGTATCCTTGCATGTCACCGGCATCGGAAGAATTATAGACACTTTGGGGATCCCTGGCCTCTGTCTTCCGGGACAGGATAAAGCTCTTTCCCGTATCGGGGTCGAATTCCTCGTGTGGCTTGGCCGGCTCTGTCTGAGCAACCGGAATGCGTCTCACCGCGTCGCGGCATATTTCGAGGAAAGGCTGAACAAAGAAGATGTTCTTCCTGTGGGAGCAGGATAACGCGTTCCTTTGGGCATGTTCGATCGATTCGGGTCAATGGAACATCCATGGTGGTCTACTTTTATATAGGGAACGAAGTCGTTCACTCGGTCGTGTTGACACATTAACCCTTCGACAGTTTATCCCGATTGAGACTTGGGCAGGGCGTTAAATAACGAACAGTTCCACTCAAGAGAGACTTTCGGGAAGAAAGTAAGAAAGGAACGAGATGTTATGTACACTGTGCTTTGAGAATGATCACACACGACGTAATTATTAAAAAGATACGTGCAAAATGTGGATTTTATTCACTCTAATTCATAATTATATTGGAATGTCAAAGGGTTAACCCTCTCGAAGTTAATCATTTCATTTTTTATCATGTACTGCATTTATATGCTGTATTTCTGTACGCAGGTGTCATATGATATCAATTTTTTAGTAAAATAAACACTTGGTGAATTGAATTGTTTTATTTTGGTAACAAAGTGTTTTCCCCTTTT